GTTTCAGGCTCTTCCTCATGTTATATACTGCCGCGTATATCGATGGCCGGACCTTCAATCACATCATGAACTCAAAGCTATAGATACTTGTAGGTAAGTCAAGTCCTCCTACAGCTTTTGCTTACGATATCTAAGCAGATATTAAATAATACTCGAGCACATGCGATAAGAAACTTATCTTGCAGTTTGAGACAAAGTGCTAATTAAGCAGATGCATCTCATCGGAATTAACTTATCGTATTCATTGCAGCTATGAGCGACTATCCAAGGCGTTTACATCTCTTTAAAACTTTTTAAAGATTATTTCCATTAAACGAACAACAATTCTCAAACTTTCACCAAAGTACATGCTTATTTTGCAAATTACGGATTTATAAGCACGAAAAAAACAAAAAATAACTGAAAAAAACAAGCAGGAGGCACATGTAATGAAACTGTTACATAAACGTTTCGACGAACGACGATTGAACAGTTCGGAGAGATTAGCCCCATTTGGTAAATTGCGATAATGCCGTGCAGCGACGGAAAAACGAATAGCATCGCACGTCCAGAGTCGGAGCAAGTACAATACAGGAAGCAAAATTCTATATTCATAAAGTGAACAATTTAAAGGAAAAGGACAGCATCCATAAAACTCGGTGCGAATTGAACTCTGCGATAAATTCTTTTTGTAAAATCAGGAACTTGCTAATCTCTTGGAATGCCTATGCCTTCGATTCTTGATCTGATGTACCTCGGCCGTCAAAATAGTCGTTTGCGATTGTAATCAGCTGAGGAAGGATCTTCTTGACTTTTATAAGCGGACTATTCGCCATTTTAGAAAGCTGAGATGTCGTAACCTTGTGGACACTTATACTATTCACTGGCCATATAAAAAACCAACTCTGCCGCCAATTAGAAAAACGAAACTTGCCAAAAGAAAGTACGAGTAATTTTTTTCCCGCAAATATTGTGGTTCTAAGATAAAGCAGCAGAAGTTCTCTAGAATTCTCCAGCATGATATAGTCATACTATTTCCTTTATGTTAACAACTGGTAAGGAGTCGCGAAGTAGTATATTCGATTCTTGCTTGATGAAACGGTTCCCTTCCCGAACTTGAAGATAACATTCTGTTTGCTGCATTACAGGTACTGCTACGATTCAGGTCAGAAAGAGATTTGCATCAATCCCTACCACTATCGTCGCATTGAGAGCGATGGTGTTCTTCCCCCCGTCTTAGTTCCCAGGTATTATTCTTTTGAAATCGTTGACTGATGCCAATTCCCAACACCTTAAGATACTCGGAACTACCGCCTCCATCAATACCTCCGGGGATACGACGAATGCAAGCCATGGAGGCATCGGGATCGTCGATGCCTCAAAATGTAGAGATTGCAGGATTGTTCAAGTGAGTCACATCGACTATTTTTTGTCAAAATGTGTTGCTACGTCATTGTGACAAAGCACATACCTGTATCTTAATCATACCTTAACCTCTTCTTCGAGAATGACACAGTAACTTTCACATGGGAAATCAGATCAAAAGTTAATTTTGGGATTTTTACTTTATGGTTTTTCTAAGAATTCAAAAAGGTAAACAGACAGTAGCCGAACAAAACAGAAAAATACCATCTTCATCGGAGGGAAAGGAGGTCAATTTGACGATTTAAATTTGATTTAGCTTGCCATCATTAACATCGGTCCCATATCTAACATCTAGGAAGTGAGTACACTTCGTATAAATAATTATAAATAGACTTCAAAAATTTCAAAAAGAATTATAAATGCAAGAACTACAGAAATTTACATCCTGATGAAAATTTGAAAACTTGAAACCAAAAATTCAGTTGTCTTTATCAAATGTCATCTAATATGCTATGAATGTATCTAGGCTTCAAGAGGAATTATGGTGACTTTATTGGGCTACAATTCTAGTGATTTGTTGAAACAAACCTTAAATTACCCTTTTATAACTCTGCGCTCAAAGCGAAAATCGGAAGAATCCTTCTGTGTCGAGAAAACATTTATTACGAGAAAAAACTTAAAAAGCATTTACTACATAGTTTGTCATAAACAAAATGAGCCGATTATAGTTGAAGGTATAACAATATGTACTTCAGTTGCTTTCACTGTTTATTCAAAGTTGTGACGGTGACTCCTGTGAAGTTATCCGGATACGATAAGCTTCACGGTTTGATAATTGAGAACAGCTACTTGGAGCAACACAGTCTACTTCTTACGACTGTGGGTGATTGTGAAAAGGAAAGGGGGGAGGGGAGAGGGGAGATTAGGGGATTTGCAATTTGAATTGCAAAGTCTGTATTTGGACGTTTACTTTCTTTCTGAAAGTTGAAAAAAATAGCACAATGAAATTTTTTTCAAGAAGAAATCAAGGAACAAAAGACAATTTTTAAATCTAACAGTTTTTCAGCCACTCGCAGTTCAATCAAATGCAAGTAGATGAAGCTGACGGGTACAGTTTCTCACCGAGTGTGCCGACTGTTGCGGTAAGCGAGCGCTCTACCTCTGTTCTAGAATTTGAAACTGTCAAAGAAGAGTTATCCCCGTGAACAAATTTCTTTATTAAACAAATTATGTATATCATCATGGCTGGTTTCCTAAGCATCAGGAAAGTCTGACTCATTTTCGCCAACGTTGATTGGTAGCTTTTGGATATATTTTTACTAAGTTCTCTTAAAGTCAGAAATCTATGCTTATGTTTTGAATTTTGCGCCAAGTTTTAAGCCATGCGTCGACAGGTCTTTCTTACAAGTTTTTCTCCATCCGATGTGAGATCGTGGGAGTAAAAGTTTGTGAAAAGCGTTAGACAATTACAAGTGTATTTCAGGTTCAATGCGTTCAACCAGAGCACTGGGCAACAATCAG